AAGTGGGACTGTGCTCACCAGGCAGGGCAGGTCGTGCAGCTCTGCAGACAGGCGGCTCAGCGACCGGGCGGCTCGGGTGCACAGCGGCTCGGCTGCTGGGCGGCTCGGGCGCAGGGCGGCTCGGCTCCCGGGCGGCTCGGCGGCAGGGCGGCTCGGGTGCAGGGCGGCTCGGCTCCCGGGCGGCTCGGCGGCAGGGCGGCTCGGGTCCCGGGCGGCTCGGCTCCCGGGCGGTTCGGCTGCTGGGGCGGCTCTGCTGCTGGGGCGGCTCGGCCGGGAGATGCAGGGGCGGGGCCGTCAGGTGCAGCGGCGGGTCGACCGGTGCAGCGGCGGGCCGGCAGGTGCAGCGGCGGGGCCGTAGGGTGCAGCGGCGGGCCGACCAGGTGAGGCGGCGGGCCGTAGGGTGCAGCGGCGGGCCGCTGGGTGCAGCGGCGGGCCGGCAGGTGCAGCGGCGGGCTGGCAGGTGCAGCGGCGGGGCCGTCAGGTGAGGCGGCGGGCCGTAGGGTGCAGCGGCGGGCCGTAGGGTGCAGCGGCGGGCCGGCAGGTGCAGCGGCGGGGCCGTCAGGTGAGGCGGCGGGCCGTAGGGTGCAGCGGCGGGCCGTAGGGTGCAGCGGCGGGCCGGCAGGGCCGCGTCAGAGCCGGCGGCGGGGCCGCGTCAGTGGAGGCGGCGGGGCCGCGTCAAGCCGGCGGCGGGGCCGCGACGAAGCGGGCGGCAGGGCCGCGTCAGAGCCGGCGGCGGGGCCGCGTCAGTGGAGGCGGCGGGGCCGCGTCAAGCAGGCGGCGGGGCCGCGATCAGGAGGGGTGGCGGGGCCGCGTCTGAGGGACAGCGGGGCCGCGAGGGAAATGGCGACCTGAGGGGTCGCTAAAAAAAAAGGGCGCGCCTCGGGGCGCGCTTCGGTGGGCCCTAAAAAAAAACGGTCCTAAGGAAGGACCCGCTCTATACCATGTGAAACAAGTGATTAGGAATGAGAATGACTAAGTCAGAGTTGGGTACAAATACAACCCTAGAAAGCTGTACCCCATATGTGCTACCCCACTATAGCCTACAAACATGCATCAGCTATAATACTCTGACAGTCCGAATGTACGTATGTGACAGAACAACACGAATAGTAGCAAAGAAAAATTGCTCTTCATGCATATTTCCTTTTATGGGACTATAAGTTCCCTTTTGCCCGGGGTTTGTGAGTTTTCCACAAAGGCCCCGCAGCGCGCGTGTTTTTCACTAGGACTCTAATCGAGAACATCTGTACCACGTGGCGGTGGGAATTCGGCCACACTCTGTTAAGGGCACCATGACCCTTCAGACGTGGCAGCCGGTTCATTTTGTTCTGGTGTTCGACGTTGTGCGAAGCTCGTTCGACGTAGCTTTCGCACTGCCTGTTTCTCTCCCAAGACCCTGGTTGAGTTGGGTTTGCAGGGCCTGTTTTGTGATGCAGGTTCTCTTTTGGGCGCATTCACGCACGAGAACAAGTGGCGGCAGGGGTCTGTACCCAGGGTGCAACATCACGGCAAAGATGTCACGGGTGCAGAGTTTCTGATGGGTGCAGGGCAATTTCGCGTGCAGGGGTTGGGCATCGACTGTATATCTAAATACGCAGGCGTTAAAAGGGCAGTTCGGCAGGAATTTTAACGCACTCAGGCTCGACATCAAACCGCCTATCTCGAACCTTGATAACTAACCCCTCGCTTATCTTTTCACTCTAGCCGGTCCCCGAGCCTGATATCAACGCCTTTTTAACGCCTTGCGAACTGGGCCCTTGTGTTCTACACCCTCATTCTCGTTAGACTGGCATATGTTATACTGACCCGGACGCTTAGTGTAGCCGCAGCGGACCAAAGAAGGTCCTATCACATGCGTTATACTGACAGTTTGACCCAGGGCGTTTAGTCAAGGTTCTATACGTTCTAGAATGGTACTGCTGTTTTCTAAACGGTTAGGACAGTTATTCAGCGTTAACGGAATTTTACGGCCCAAGTCTGGTTTCGTCGCCTCGTGCGACTTGGCCCGCAACCGAGTTATCTCACCAGCCCGCTACGTCCAAACACTGTAGCCACTGCTTCTGCCGGTGAGAAGACTGAGAATGAGGGTGTAGCTGTTCTGTTTGTCCTCTCTAAATTGCTGCCAGCATTAATTTCTGGCGGCTTTCTGCAATTTCTACAATTAAGCGATGTCCTTGTCGTTTTAAAAAAACGTTGTCCCTCCCTACTAAACACTGGGCCGGAAACACATCAGAGAAAGTTTCCAAAAGAGAACTAGACAGTGATAAATTGATAAATTAAAGTTGTACTGATCTCCTAGTGCTCGGAACCGTTGGGTTCTAAACAGTGCTGGTTTGGGATTTATGACAGCTCAGGCCTCTTTGACAAATGACGTTCAGAATCCACAGAGATCTGTCCACAAGCAGGAGGATTCTAGGGACAAGTACTGTATTGTATTTTTTTTTTCTGGGTACGTTCCAGGTTTGAGTTGCTTTCGGCGAGAACCCGACCTGCCTTCTGGGTCAGATGTAGCAAGAGTTGGCTGGTTGTGCGTAAAAGCCATCATGAGATGAAGGTGAAAACGGTTACTTATCTATTCACGACAAATCGTGCGATGGCCGTCGACCACCGTCGACCTGACCGAAGGGCAGAAAATAACTAAAACCCCATCGGATGGCATGCCATCCGAGGGAGGCATCAAGCCGAAATCCATGCCTCCCCGTGTTTAGGGTTGATGCATCCCTGACCGGATGCATGCCCGTCTGGGGTTTATTTTTTTGCCCGCGGGCAGCGAGCTCATCCGGGCGGGGTCGCTTGTCGGCTGAGACATACTGAGCCAAATGCCAGCTTTGTGTCAAGCTGGGAAAAATACACTGTGCAAAAGAATGGAGCAACACACCGCATGTTTTCAGGGCTGGCTCCAGTGTCGCTCATGACACCCAAAAGCTAGAGGCAACACGGTGAATGTTGTCGCGGAACTTCCACTCGTGACAGCAGGGGGTGACGTGACGGCGCTCATGCTGCTCCCACTCGTGATGTAACTGGGCTAGTTCTTTGACCCGCGGACCAAAACCCGCGGACTGAAACCCGCGGGCCGCAACCCGCGCACCGAAACCCGTGGACCAGAGCCCGCGGACTGCAACCAACCTTTTTCATGCGGCTGTCCACGCTGTACATCTTGCGCTAATAAAACGACTACGCGTGGAACATTCGAAGGCTAGACCAATCACAACGATGATAAGGAGATTGTGATGAATTTGCTGATGGTGAAGTCCAACATGCCCCTTCTTGTGCAACGAAATCTGCGGAACCAGCTTGGCGTACACCTTCCAAATCACGGAGGAGCCTGTGCTCAACACACTTTGTGGAAGGCATTTCAGATTCATGCAAATGCAAGCCTGGTCAAAAGGTTTACGGTTGTTGGATAAGCGTCGTAAAAAAAACAGGTATGAAGGGTGAGACATGATCAAATTTCAATAACCATTCAGACATCTGAAGAGCCATCACTCGAGCAAGGGCGAAACTGCACAGTGAAATAACCATACATTTCACACGCGCTTACAGTTCCTGTATCGTGGTTCAATACGTTCCAACACGGTGAAAAGCGGTTTTCGACGTTTACCGCTCTGCACCGTGTTGAACGAAATTTACCGAAGTGGGCGTACAAAAAGTTGTACAACCTGACCTCGCCTGCTAGCCGATCAGCCACCTGAGTCAACCAACGGTATTTTCCCCCAATTTCCACCTGAATGCACAGCAGCCAATTCATCAGTCTAGCCTAGTGGACACTGGTTTGAATCCTCACCAACAGTGACTTGCCCTACGTTTTGTGGAGGGAAACCCCTTGGTGCATTTCCCTTTTCCGCTGTGCGGGTACGTCACGCCAGTGGCAATGACGACCGACCAAGTTTTTTTCCGGACCAAGTCGGACTGAATCGGACCCCTGTAGCGTTTGTTTTTCCGGACTGCCCGGAAGCGGGAATCTATGTCGCATGATCCAAGTGTTTTTTCTGTGACAGACGATTGAAGGGTTCGTTGCCATTGGCTAAGTGTTGGACCGTCCCACTAGAGACTATAGTAGCTGTCATGGTCTTCGGCTTCACTTTTTCAAGTTAAACTGTTTACAAGTCTCCGAGAGCAGTCTGGTGCGCGCCCTTCAATCAGCAGCAACTACAATTTCCTGGCTAGTTTTAAGCTTTGGTTCGCGCAGACAGCGTAGTTGTGCGGCGTAGCATTCCTTCACTTTCATCGATATCATTCCGAATTCATGAACCGTCCGACTGATATAACCTCCTGTTTGCGCGCGCTTCTCCATTTGAGATTAGATTGGAGTCAGTTTTTTGGATATTTGGTCCTCTGAAACAGCTCCAGCCTTCACGTACTCCTCTGGCCAATTCCGAATTGAGTAAACCAGCAGGTATTAACACCTCTGAGCGACTTCTGGGACAGAGTGGGTAAGTGGGATAAGTGGGTTTATTGGGGAGGTGGACCTTTCAACCCATCCACCCCCAACCCTCCTCCTCCCCTCCTCCCTCCACCCAGGTTGCTGTCTAGGATAGTATCACAAAGACAAAGTCTGAGCCGATCACATATCCGCTTTAGAGGCCTCTTCTGGGCCACATTGCCCCATCTTTGAGGTAATTTTCCGAAATTAAAAGGGTCAACCCAGATAGTTCATCTGAGCTCATAAGATTCTGGGAAAACTTTCCAGACCTGAAATTCACAAGAGCCGCTCTTGCAGTAGCGACTTGTGGGGGACGGATCCAGTGCAGGGTGTGGTAGTAGTTGGTGTAATTTTGTAGTGCCACAAGCAGATGAAAAAGAGGCAGGGTGGGAGAGCGGAGGTTAAATTACAACGGCAACGGACAATGACGCGAAATCAGCCTGATCGGAGGCAGATCATGCAACCAGAGCAGCAGCAGATGCAGCAGCAGCAGATGGCACGGCAGTTTGTACCACAGCCAATCTATACAACACAACCGCAAAAGCTACAGCCACAGCTACAGGCTAAGCCAGTGTTCATGGAGATACAGCCGCTTCTACAGACACATCTACTGCAACGTGAGACTGCTGCTGGTGCAAGACCATCGGCTTCTGGAGCCAAGCGCAAGACACTGGCGCGCAACCGAAACTACAACCAGGAAGGGAAGTATCGGGGAGTGAGGAAGCGAGGGGAGTTTAAGTACGTTGCAGAGATTAAAGACACCACTATTGGGGTCCGCAGGTGGTTGGGCACGTTTACCAGTGCAGTGGAGGCTGCTCGGGCGTTTGATAAAGCTGCTTTCGACCTCCGAGGATCAAATGCAAAGCTTAACTTTCCGAAAGAGTATATCACGGAAAGGAGAGGAGTACTGAGCTCTAATCCTCCAGAGCTAGGAGCAGCTGCGACGCAAACGGCAGGAAGGGAGGCAGATAATATTGATGAGAGTAATGGCCCGGGAGTTCCAAGGATTACGGAGTCTTTACCAGGACAGGTGGAGAAAGGGGGTTCTACGAGCTCTGCCGCTTTAGGAGCTCTAAAAGGGAAGGAGGATGATTATGCTGTAGATGCTGTGGAAGGGCGATTGGTGGGAGTGGACGTGTGCCAGCTAAAGTCGTTTGGAGAGCGAACAAGTAGAGCGGTGGGTGCGGTGGCAGCAGAAGCAGGCGGAGGGTCAGGGGCTGTACTAGGGTCAGCGTTTCCAGTTGACGTTGCAGACGAGGGAGAAGGAGGAGGAGGGAAAAGGGGAGTGGGAGGAGGAGGAGGAGGAGGAGGAGGAGGAGGAGGAGGAGGAGGAGGAGGAGGAGGAGGAGGAGGAGGAGGAGTAGGAGGAGGAGGAAGTGGGGTAGGAGGGGTGTGCATAGCAGCAGAAGCGTCAGCAGTCACTGATCGGAATGGAGCTTATTCTCCTGATTCCAGCTCCACTGTCAGCAGCAGCAGCTCCGACAGAACCGCCCCTTTCGCCCCTGCCCCTTCTCCCTCTGTCCCTTTCTCCTCTGCTTCTTTCTCCTCTGCCCCTTCTGCCTCTGTCGCTTTCCCACACTCCACCCTTCCTGCCACCTCTGCTCCTTCCACCTGGACCGATGTGCTACACTCCACCCTTCCTCCGTCCACCGCCCCTTCCATCTCTGCCTCTTTCCTAAACTCCACTCGTCCTGTTACCTCTACCCCTTCCACCTCCAGCGATGTGTTACACTCCAGCCTTCCTCCTTCCACTGCCCCTTCCATCTCTACTTCTTTCCTACACCCCATCTTACCTGCTGCCTCTGCCCCTTCCACCTCCTCCGATGTGCTACACTCCACCCTTCCGCCCTACACTGCCCCTTCCATCTCTACTTCTTTCCTACAATCCACCATTTCTGCTGCCTCTGCTCCTTCCACCTCCACCGATGTGCTACACTCCACCCTTCCAGCCACCTGGGAGTACAACGTCGCAGTATCTGGGAAAGTGACGATGCATGGAGGGGATGCATCCCAACAAGAAGCAGAGGAGATGGTGGAGGTACCCAACATGATGGCAGGCCCAGCTGCAAACATGCTCACAAGCTGGCATGCTGAAATGATGCAGCATGCGCCTGCCATGGTGCCCCCGTTTGAGTTGCTCTGGAGGCGTGACCATGGCATGCAGTATGGGTTTACCATGTCCCGCGTGTCTTCTACATGTGTCAGACCACCGCGTCAGCGTCATCAGACACAACGGCTGCAGCAGCGACAGCGGCGGCGGCAGCAGCAGCAGCAGCAGCAGCGACAAAAGGGGCCGCTGCAGGGTCAGCAGCGGGGTCAGCAGCAGAAGCACCATGTGTCAAGCTTCTGGCAACAAAACTATATGGAAATGACATCTGGCAGGAGGGGTAAGGCAGCTGCATGTAGCCCTTCTGCGGACCCCACGAGATCACCTTCTCCCATGGAGGAGTGGAGGGAGCAGCAGGCGATTAAAAGCCACACCTCAGACTTGCTAAACAATCTCACAACAATCAAGATTTCCAGCCCTTCACTCTCCGATTCTCTACTCACCGCCAATCACAAGCCGCATTCCGAAGCTGCACCTCTGATGTTTCGAAGCCACCGCGTATCTTCCCCGTTGGAGCTGCGGGTTTCCAGTTCCTCAACCCCGGAGTCCCAGCCGTCTGTGGGAAACACTGGTGGTGTGGCTGATTTGAGGGCTGCAAGTGGTGCTTTTGCTGCTTGTGGTATGGGTGCTGTGGGTGGTATGGGTGTTGCTTCCAGTGTTGCTGGTGCTGCCTGTGTTGCTGGTACAGCTAATGATGCAGGTGTTGCCAGTGCAGAAGGTGTCGCCAGTTTTACTGGTGTTTCCAGTACTGCAGGTGTTGCCAGCGATGCTGCTGTTGCCGGTGCTGATGTTGCCCGCGATGACCAGCAGAAGTTGAAACAGCAGTCGCATGCCATGCAGCAGCAGCAACAGCAGCAGCAGCAGCAGCAGCAGCAGCAGCAGCAGCAGCAGCAGCAGCAGCAGCAGCAGCAGCAGCAGCAGCAGCAGCAGCAGCAGCAGCAGCAGCAGCAGCAGAAGAAGCAACAGTCGCATGCCATGCAGCAGCATGAGTTGCAATTAGTGCTGCAGCAAGAGCAGTGCCACCACCGCCACCAGAAGCAGTTGCATCCTATGCAGTGGCAGCAGCAAGTACCCCTCACGCACTTCCAGCCAGCCCGCCCACCCCTCAAACCGTCTCTTACCCCCATAACACCTGCTTCTATGGCTTCCACCCTCACAGCTATCACCAGCATTCCTGCTGACGTTTCTAGAGGATTTTGTGCTGCTGCTGGCGCTTCTGCTGACTCTGCTGCACCATTTGCTAATTGTGCTGCTGCAGGAGTTCTGATCCTTCCGCCTCCCGCCTCTCCACCCACTTTCTTTGATTGTACAACCAGCTTGCATGGGTTCATCAGCACAGAGCAGGGCTGTGTTGAAGCCTTGGAGCATGCTGTCTTTGGGAAAACTATCTGCACGGAGATTGGTGGTGCGGTCAGCAGTGGCACAGGTGTTTTTCTCATGCAGGACATTCCAGCAGTAGGCTTCGAAGTGACGTGCAGTGTTGTTGCTGCGGAGCACCCCAGTGTGGAACAGACTAATCTGGACCAGCCTAGTGCGGATCAACTCAGTGCAAAACAACCTAGTTTGGACCAGCTTATTGTGAACCAGCCCAGTGGGGAACGGGATTGCAAGCACCAGGCGTGCACAGCCCAGCCTAGTCTGGGAATGCTCTGTGCGGAGAAGCTGTTTGCTGCCCAGCCTACTTCTGTCGAACTGTGTTCTGCCCAGCAGCATATCATGGCAGATCTGGACCTTCCTCTCCCTCACTCCTCAGTGGACCTGCTGCTCCTTGAAGATGAGCAGCACTCTGCATTTGCTGCCATGGATCTCACTACACCGTTTTCTCACATTGAGAAAATAGGTTGTTGCGCCTTTGAGAATTCTGCGTGCTCTGTCCCTTTTATGGGAGCAACAGGTGAAGGACTGGATGTTGGGGGCGAGGCTATGGATGTAGGAAGGATGGGATATGCAGAAGATTTTCAGCATCTGACTGTGAGTGCCACTGATGCTGGAACCTGCACCATTGATCCACTAGAAATGTTCTTGATGGATAATGGGGAATAAGCATAGTGGTGATAAAGACATCATGTTTTAGGCTAGGAAAATTATTTCATTTTATCCACAACAAAAAATAGTGAAAAAAGGAGCCAAATCCAGGGCTGAGAAATGGGACAAGAGATGTGTGGAGACGACATGTAGCACGAGACAGGAGAGGAAGGATGGGGAACAAAAGATAATTCTTTTGGCTCTAGATGGGCTAGGTTACAAGTGTGTGGACTTCAATCAATGCGGAGAATGGTGATGCATGTCCAGGGTGCAACGTAAAATTGTGTCTTCTCTCTTGCTCAATAGTGTGTGGGCTATGAATGTGTGCCTAAACCCTATATCCAACATCCCATACTCTCTATAATGCGACCCAACCTAGCTACAAAGTACACATGCAAATGTATATGTTTACGTTGACACGCCCTCTGGGCCGGGTGAGTGACATTGCGTAGAAAATGAGAAACAACTCAGGGAGGTACTACTAGTCCAGCAAGAAAAACAAAGTGTATGAGGTACAACTGAAGTACTGCTGGGACAATGCCAAGTACTAATGATTATGAGGTGGGAGCGCCTTTGTGCAATTAACATTGCTGGGACAAGGCCAAGTACTAATGCTAAGAAAAACAAAGTGTACAAGTGAATTACTACTGGGACAAGGCCAAGTACTAATGATTATGAGGTGGGAGCGCCTTTGTGCAAGCAACATTGCTGGGACAAGGCCAAGTACTAATGCTAAGAAAAACAAAGTGTACAAGTGAAGTACTGCTGGGACAATGCCAAGTACTAATGATTATGAGGTGGGAGCGCCTTTGTGCAAGTAACATTGCCCCCTGAGGCCAAGTGTACTATGCCTGTCTGGCCATGCTGCTGCAGCTTATGCAGTAGGAAGTACCCCGATTGGATGAGCTTTGCTCCGCCCTCTAGTCTAGGCTCCTGAGACATGAAAACAATTGCCCTGTTATCAGCGAAGTGGACAGGGGCAGAGCTGGGCAGCTCACCTAAGTCAGTGAGCAAGAACGTCAGCCATTGGAGCTCCTAAGCAACCATTGCTGATGACGAGCGAGTGGACCTCCACGAGACTGCTCCTGCACCAAGGCCAAGGTGGTAGCCCTAGTAGGACCTGAGAGTTTTGATGTCATCTTCCCATGTCGCGGCTGCGTGTCCCTTGAGTGTGACTAGCTGTTGTTCTTCGAGAAAAAACCACCATGCCTTATGTCCAAGCCAGGTATTGCAATACCCTCTTAGCAACCAGCCACTGCTCAGGTCGGTGCTCCTTGGTCGAGAGCGTGTCGCTAATAGGCAGAGGAGTCGGTGCCTCCTAGTCGAGAGCGTGCCGCCAACAGGCAGAGGATTGGGATGCAGAGGAGAACTGAGAATCTGCTGCTGCACCAAGTGTGGCCGAGTTAGTGTGATGGTGCGCGATGCTTTGTCCCTAGTGATCTGCAGGCCAAGATAGCTACGCAACTCGACTAGGGCAAGAGTGTCTCCTCAGTAGCACGACCTTCATCGAGGCTAGTGCGACTCTGTTTGTAGTAGAGAAGACTAGGTCGTCTATGTAGTGTAGAATTTAAAACGGAATAGAGCAAGAGCTGAGAAAGAGAGACGGGTCAACAGAGGATGGTAAGAAGTGGAGGTTAGCCAAAGTAGTAGGCTGTGTGTCGTGCCACTCGCGAGGAGCATGACGAAGACCGTAGACGGGTCGTCGAAGGCTCCACTGGGTCCTAATAGGAAATAATACAGTGAAGCCTGGTAGGCGGCGGAGGAAGATCTGCTCGTGTAGGCTGCCCTGGAGAAAGGCAGTAGAGAATTCAAGCGCATGAAGCTCGTAGTTGCGCTGCGCTGTAGTGTGCAGCAGTACCCCTGAACTCACGCGGCTCTCCAGCTGGTCGCTTCAGCTTGAAGATTCACATGGCATCGACTACATTCGCACCAAAAAGAGGATCTGCATTGACATACGGGTATGTGGACCTCCAAGATGGCATCTCTACGTCCATGGATGCCATCCACTAAGAGGCTTAGGGTCCCGAGACTACCTCAACATAGGTGTGGGGGATCGGGATATAAAGAGAGGTTGGGTCACCCTCAAGGGTTAGCAACTTGGTGGAGAGATGAGGAGCAGCGGCCGCAAGGAGATCCAACTCATACTGCCAGTCCCCTAGGATAGAGGATAGGCAGGTGGTTGGTCAGCCGGTCCAAAAGAAAGACAAAGAAGGCGAAGTGTAGACACGGGCGACGGCGGCAACGTCGGTTGTTGCTGCGGTAACACTTGTTGCCATTGTGGAATCGGACTTCCCGCACCCACCGCTCCCCCAGTACCTAATTTGGTAGCATCCCCAGAACCAGCACTCTTAGCGTGAGCAACCCCAGTTCTAGCACCCCTAGAGACAGCACCCACAACTGCAGCACCCTTAGAAACAACATGCCCAACGGCAGCACCCCCAGAGTCCACAGGGACAAACTGCGGCGGCGACGACGGTGCGATGACAATGAAGGCTGCTATGGCAACTACACGGACAATGTGGTGACGGCAGGGACTGCGCAATGGCTGCAGCGGGCGTGGGGGACGGGGGAGAGGCGGCGAAGGAGGCACACCCTCGCGTATAGGGCCTCCAGAGTTAGCAAACTTCTCCACAGGCCTAATCGAGGGAAGGGGATGATGTGCGACACACCATATGGGCCAGGATATTGGGCTAGGGGAGCGAGTAGAGGACTGGGAGTGCAAAGAAGAGGAAGGGCGGGGGAACCAGAGTATGTTGGTGAGGGAAGCGAGTGTAAAAGCAGATGGAATTGTCAAAAGTGACGTCATGAGAGCGGAGGAAGCGGTAAAACTAAAGGTGGTAGAACAGCAAGTCAGGGGCGTTAAGGGGGAAATCAAGAAAGACACACAGGAGTGTGGGGTGAGAGCTTGTCTACGAGAGGGTCGCGGACGTGAGCAAGGCAGCCCTAAAAACGAAGCAGAGATGCAACACCAGAAGACGCATTCCAGAGGAGGGTTGTCAAAACCTGCGGTCGTTGGATGGCTACAAGTTAAGCTGGTGCGCAGCGTAGTAGACTGCAAACAGCCACTGACATGAATCATGGAGGTACGACCAATCTCCGTGACCAAGCCAATGCTACGCAGTCAGCCACGTCACTCTGTTGTGGCGAGTCGAGGAGCGAGTACGCACGGGTAATGCCCTCTGCACGATAGAATTGGACAAGACAACCGGAGCCGAACTTGCCACTACGGTCGGACCACTGGCAAGGCACGGGCTGGGTGCGGATGACGTCTAGCCACGGGAGGAGAATGTCAGGCTAGTAGTTTTCTACACTGACTAGGCATGGCCTATGGAAGGAAGCAGCACCCAAGACATCCCAGGCATCTTCGACGGAGTCGACTACCCAAGCCAAGTCGGCATCGATTACGAAATCGGCTTTGCCGTTCGTTGAAGTTGGCTTCGCAGTGGTCGGCTTCACCAAAGTCGGTTGCGTAGAAGTCTGCTGCACTGAGGTCGGCCAACCAAGCCAACTTGCTCCTCCAAGGCAGTGCCAAACAGAAAGCCTAGCTTGCTGCACATCTTGTAGGCCGGACAACGAAGTCGGCTTCGCCCAAACGAGGGCAGGGCCTTTTGTTGTCAACACTCCCTTGCCCAGCTCAAGCTTGGGCACCCACACACACGCAAGTTTGCCCAGAACCTACGTAATAGAATACAGGAGGATATTGTCCCTGTGCACAACCAACACCCCGATCACCGCACCAGCCATGTTGAAAGACATGGTACCTACTTCTGTGCATCGTCATCACCGTCGCCGACATCGGCCAGATGTACTTGGCTGACTGCAACATAGCACCGGTTGAAGGCTGGAAAGTGAAACGCCTTCGTGAGGAAGACAATCGATGTGCTTGAGGTTGCCCTTGAGCTCCAAGCCTTCAGCAACCGTGATAAGCAACTGGTCGTCCACGTTCAGGACGGTCGGCGCCACA